TACATTGATTTGGTGTTCCACACGTGGGACCTAGCAGGGAAAGAATGACCATTTCCAGGGATACTATCTTACAATGATGTGCAGGTTTCAGCCACAATTGAGACGAAGAACAAACACTCCATTGTCCAGAGACCAAACAGTCATTTGAACTAAATCGTGATTATATTAGAATGATTACAGTGTAGAGTGAACAGAAGACATACAACGTGCGTCAACACATGGGGGATTCCAGCAGAGAGGGGAACAGCCAGGTGGGTGTGCTGAAAATAAATGGATGAAGAATGCCTTCAAAGAGTACCTCAGTGGTAAAACGGAAAAAATGAATGAACTTGATAATTCAGTAGAAACTGAATACCTCTATTTGGGTGAAAAATACAAAGAGGGGTTGGGGAGCATAGAATCAAGTATTCAACGACTGTGGATCTACATTAAATGGTAAGAATTGGAACATGTATGAGTTGTTAATCTGCCAGCGAAGGAAATCTCAGATGTTTTCCACTAATAGAAAAAGTGGTCAGATGATACTTCCTGGTACACACAGGCTAGCCTGTTAAGGATGAAAAGCTTCTAAGACTCAGGAAAAGAAGATGCATGCACTTTCAATGCTCCTAGGTTCCATTGTATTTCCAGCTGGAATCCCAGAAGGAGAGAAAGAGCTGGTAGAAGTATTTGAAGTAATAATGGCTCCCGATTTTCTAAAAATAATATCAAATCCTAGTTGAAAGACTGCCCTGAGAAGCACAGAAGGTTGCGTAGTAATTTTTGAAAAGCAACAACAACCCCCTACCCCCAACATAAATATATCCACTCTTCCAGAAACTGAAGGTATAGAGACTATTCTTGGCTCTGCTTCTCTTGTCTTACAGATGGCATCTGAGACAGAGCACCTCCCCCTGGGTGTGTTCGAGTGTCATCTGTGTGCTTTGTCAGCTCCATACAGCTATGTGGGGCAGAAGCCCCCCAACACCCGGTCTGTCTTGTAAGTTAATACTTCCTTAGCCTGTGGCCTAGGAAGCACCTGCCCTAAGCTGCTGGCTGGATCAGCCATCGTGCCTGCAGGTACCAGGCAGTGAGGTGATATATGCCTATTCCAGCTAGGCCATGGACCCTGCAGGACTTGGTAGCTGCTCACAGTAGAGGAGACCACAGTGCACCTCCATAGCCTAAAGGTCCCCAGATCCTAGCCTGGTTCACCAGTGGGTATGAGGAGGCTTCCCAAACCCACCCCTTTGCCCCAGAAGACAGAACCTACTCCCAATCTGCTGCCTTCCACCCAGGGCCCTATGTGGCCCACATCTCTGTAATGGCCCCCACAGGGGAACCACTCTGCTAGTCTCACAGAAGAAACCACATTTCCTGCTGGCTTAATGTCCTAAGGCAATAAATGACCCTGCTGCTGAGTGACAGTATAGCAGCTGGTACTCCATGTTGTTCTTAAATGACAAATAACATTGTCATGATCAGTCTTAAAGAATTAATGCCATTACTAACCAAATGTTTAAATCCTGAATGTATGGTGGTGTCAGGTACCTTC